ATATCCATGTTTATTTCTTTGAAAATGCAATATATTTTCAGATAAAACTTCCCAAATTGCTTTCCAAACGGTTATGGGTGTAGCTATGCTTTTTGGAAAAAAAGTATGATTAAAAAAGTCTGCGTAGGAAATACCTAGTTTCCCATTGACTCACCTCCTTAATTGCCTCAATGTATTCTTTGTCATCATCAAGCAAACCCAAAGTATAATATGCATCGCAAAAAGACTCATGAGAACCCTAATGACTGTTTTGATCTTTTTTAAAAATATGTGCACCATTTACAATATTGAGCAATAATCTTAGATAGTACACTTTTTCGTACGTAGGTAGAACATATGTGATCCTAGGAATTGCAAAACTATATTGCCTTAGCTCCCACGAATTGCTACTCGTGCGCCAAACAAACTTGGTGGGCAAGTCTGAATAAGCCAGTTCCCTTGCATCGGGAAGCTTTTTATTGCAATCCATCTAAGCGAAAAAATAGTCATAGTAAACTCTTTACTGCTGATTACTTCGTTAGTAGGATCATCCTCGTTAAACAACAAAAACTCTTGACATAGTAAATGGAATGAAAGCTGAACAACTGCAGTTGTCCTAAATTGCATTGGAAACACAAGAATTCTCCATGTAGACTCGCAAACTGATATGTATCTTCAAAGCACAACCCAAAGTTTGAAATTAAATTATATTAAAAAAGTTAAAATTAAAAATATTAAAAAATCACACAAATAAACACAAACCGGCAACTAAAATATTTTTTAGTTGTCTCCTCATGCAACACATCCTTATCAGCGCTATCACTCTCAATGGCTGCACTAACATAGTTGGGACCTTTGTGTATATATTTAAAGAGGAATTTAACAGATCACCCACTCAGTGTTAATATGTGCACGATAACGCTTAGACAATTCTTTGTTGTAAGACACAACATACCTATATTCACAACCAAATCCATTTTTTTTAATATTGCAGCCATCGTTACAACACTCATATATAGGAAATCCACCCTCGCCAACCCGTGTCACTTCGTTGAAAGTCCTTGGAAAGTATTTTGTACATTTACCATTGAGCATACAAACACTACTTCTATTGGCTTTCCCACAAGGACCATGGATCATCAAATATCCCACAACCTCATATAAATGGGGCTCCAATTCCTTATCAGGAATCTCGGCTGAGATAATCTTACTGATATCATCACCAATACTTATCAGGAATCTCGGTTGAGATAAACTTAACCTTTATTTCTAATTTTCCCTCAAAAATATGATATGTACATAGTATATAAGTAATTTATATATTTAATCGAATTGTAATAATCACATATCATTTAGCATGTATCTACCTCAAAATAATTTTGACACTATTTAGAAACATAAAATCTTTCAACTAACTATTCTAAATATCCTTCAATCATACACATTTTTTTTTTAAAAAATAGAAAATACAACTTATCTATAATGTGTTTGTCTCACAAACAAAGCTTCTATTATACCCGCATACAAAAAGTTATATGTAGACTATTTTGTTTATCGATGAATTTAACTTTTCTAATTCTCAATTTGTACATCCATGAATCGATTCTGCTTTGATTAGGTTCATTATTCTATCAGGTTAGTGACAAACTATATACGTAACAACAATAACGGAATAAGGATAGAGCATAGCAAAGCGACTCATATGCTATATATTTAAGCTCATATGGTTTTAAGATATATCAATCCATTCAAAAAAGTATTTCCAAACTCACATCACTCACAGGGTTTTGAAGAAATTCGCAGCCATTGTATGATAAGATATAAACATATAGGATAAGTATAAAATATAAAAATATAAATTTTTCTTTTGTAAATTAATTAAAAAAATTGATAAACAAATATTGGTGTTGTGCAGAATGGTATACATGATGTTTTATTGTAAAATGTATGCAAGTTATAATAGGTTATTGACTAACAACAATTCTACTCAATGAGCAGAAATCAGTCTAAGAAAAACAATGGAACCAAGTTGAACCCAATGAGATGTTTTCAATGATATGAAAACTGTAAGAAATGATATGGAAACGTTGGAACATAGTTGAATTCAATGCAGCTATGAATAAATTTTTTTATCAAATTTCAGCGTTTGAAGAGACCTAAATTCATCCGAACCTTATGAAATAAAACATTTATCAATGCATACCATCAAGAAAATCTAATTGCTTGGAATCATACTTTATTGCTCTTTTAGTCATACATTGGTCAACCATTTAAATTTAATGCAACATCTGTAATTTTATTTGTATTAACAACATACAGTATATAGACATCAAACACAATGATATGAAACAATTTAATTGGAAATAATTTACCTAGCTAATCTATTGCAATGTTAGCTCATGTTCAAGTAAATTAGTAAAATGAAGAAACACATAAATATATGATTCAAGATTTCATAAACATAGAAATTGTATTGGCTGTGTTAATTCTACTTTTACAAACTTTTCATCGTATAAATCATAAAATCAGAAAGACTGTTACGTGTTACTCTATACAGCTAAAGGTTTCTCCATGATCTTATTATAATAATCAAAGTATGAATAATTGAACATTGGCAAGTTGCAGGTTGCATTTAGTATCGGGTGCTCTTCAAAAAACATATCACATGCAACATAAAAAAAAAGATAATGCATACTTTTGATCCCAAAAAATGTAAATAAAGTAAGAAAAATTGACTTAGGCCGAATCAGTTTCATCGCAGTAGTTGAACTCAAGAAGCCTTGATGATTTTCCTTTATGTTTTTCCTTCACCAAGAAAAGAGGTAGTTGAACTCAAGAAGCCTTGATGATTTTCCTTTATGTTTTTCCTTCACCAAGAAAAGAGGTAGTTGAACTCAAGAAGCCTTGATGATTTTCCTTTATGTTTTTCCTTCACCAAGAAAAGAGGAATCTCAATCTCACACTCGCAATATGTCTCCTGCGCTTTTTCTTCTTCTTCTTCTCCCAGCGAGAACGTTTCTCGCGCGAATTCTTCTTCTTCCTATATCGAATCATACACACACACACAACACACACACGCGAATTCATCTTCTTCCTATATCGAATCACACACACGCACACACACGCACACGCACGCACGCACGCACGCACGCACTAAATTAATTTAGATTGTATATCCTTTAGCGGTTGTACTATGAATTAATTTTTAAAAAAGAGAGCGGTTGTACTATGAATTAATTTTAAAAAAAAAAGAGATCAATGAAAAATTTCAGCTCAAGGGTAAGGGCCGTAAGGCCATGTTGATGGTATGAGCTTACAACATAGTTTTGTGAGGAATCTTTTATATGGCTAGAAATTCTTCGATTATCTTTCTCCATACACCTTTAAAAAAAAAGACAAAAACACAGCAGATCAGCCTCATACCAAATACAAGGAAAACAACGAATCACAATAAATAAATCAGCATATGCACAAACTAAATTAAAACTAAACAAAAATCTACATGAACTAAGCTAAACATAGAAAACCATAAAAACAAACAGTGGCTGCTCAGAGATTACATTATATATACGAAAACATATTAGGGTTTCAGCCAAATATTTTATTTTTATTATTTAAAATTCAATTTTCTTTTTATATAACATGATAATTATATATACACTTTTATTATCTGATTTTTAAAAATTTACTTTCTTTTTATATAACATAATAATTATTGATACGATTTTAATATTTGATTTTGAAAAAATTTACTTTCTAATGATAAAGAAAAATATATTTTCGAATTTTCTTTTTAATTTTAATAATACATATAATAACAAAACATGTAGCTAAACAACCCAAATTCAGAATATATAGTATAGATATAGTTCGGTTCAGATTTCGAAAATATATAGATAGATATAAGATTTAAATTTTGAATATCAAAAACTAAATATAAAAATGTTGGAAGATATTAAAATAATATAGATTATGATTTTTTTATTAAGAGTACCTAAGTAATGTTTAGTAATATTGAATGAGAGAGCTCTATTCTTTAATTGCATAATAGTATACACATCACTTTTCATGTTTTTATATAAGAGAAAAGAGACATAATGAATGTTTAATATTAACAATACAACGAAAAATACAAACTACAAAAAGTCTAATGATAATGAATTATAAAACGTAGACACGTTAGTTTTACCAACATATACAACAACAACCACTCATAAAGTTAATGCTACACCTGAAATCAGACAGCAAACTCTTCACGTTCTATGCTCTGTACAAAATGATAGGTTTAATAGTTGGTTTTAACAGCTACGGACGCTAGAGCTCCCTGATGGATACTGCTGTTTCAACTCGATTTTCCCTTCATATTTGTGTATTCTCTCTTCATTTCATTAGATTTCTCTCATTTCGCTTAAGGCCACCAGAATTCCCACTGTTTGTTAGCATCTATAGTCACACTATCCTTATTCTTGTGGTCTCTTCCTCTGTGGACTTAACAACTCTTTCTCCATCGAGCAATCACCGGATGAGGTATACTACAAAAGCAAACACGTTTAAGGCATTAAAAAAATTCTTTTTTTTTTGTTAATATTGTCCAGATCATAAGCTACTTCATTCAAATATCATCTTCTATTCTCCACGAATGCTAAAAGATATTAATTCAAGAAATTAGTCTCACACTAAACAAAACAAAAAAACAGAAAACAATAACAAAGTAAAAAAGATCATGCAGTATTAGATATTGAAATTACAGTTATGCACAAACAAACTAAAATCTAGATGACTCTAAAAAGCAAAAAGAAAAATGATTCATATTGCATCAGAACAGTTAAAAACCATATTGAAACAAACATGCCAAAACAGAAAGATAATAGAATAATCTACAAATTTTTCTGTTTTGGTCTAGACGGCTAGTGATCAGCTCTTTCAATCATCTTTCCTCACGTTCTGAAAAAAAAAAATCAGTTTTTATTAAATTCAAAGAACACATAATTAGAGCAGTATGCAAGTAAAACAATATATCAAAACCTGCAAAAAAATATAGAAAACAAAATAATTATTGACAAAACCCTAAAACAACAACAACACCAAAATAATCATGTAACCAATAAACATAAAAGAATTATCAAAAAGCCCTAAATAAACCATTGCGATCTGAAAAAAAAATAGTTTCAAGTCAATTTCAGAGAAACAAACGAACAACACCAAAGAACTAAGATCTCTCCTATGAAAATCTTAGATAACGGGTGCACTAGGATTCTCATACCGGAACTCCAAGGTGGCAAGGAAGTCTATTGTCACTTCATGAATGGTTGGGCAATCCATCCGTGACAGACATCTTAAACCAATGTTCTTGAGGAGTTGGTCGAAGTCCCCAAGAATTCCTAGCTTAGACAAAAGCTCTCTATCAGCGAACTTGGTGGGTTCAAACCGGAGCCTCTCCAGCCGCTTCTTATCCCTCTTCTCATCCTTACTCCACCGGACCCTCTCTTGAGCTACCACTTCTTGTCCTTCTCCTTCTTGTGCTTGCTCCTCTCTTGTTCTCTTTGGGGCCATGGTTCCTGAAACAAATTCTAAAGAGATTGATAAGCACACGGCGGTTTGATGAGAATAAGAGAAGAGAAGGAGAGAAATTATAAAAGGCTACCCTAGAATTTTGGGGAATAAATAAAAATCATAGCTAAATAAAAGGGAATCAAATCTTTAGATACTGAAAAATCTGGAATTATTTCTTTTACTTAGCTAGTTTTAAAAATTCAAAACCGATCCTATATTCTAAAACAAGATCTTGCGATATTAAAGGAGATTTTCTAAAATTAAACCATTAAATCTTTGAAAATACCTTTGCAAGAAATGCAGAATATCTTTGTTAGCTTTTGAAAATTGAAACTCTCACTCTCTTTGTTTAAAATTCTCGAGCAAAACAGGAATGAGAGGGTGAGAGGTTGTTTGAAATATTTAAAGACTTAGCAAAACCAAAACAATGGGTAGTCAAAGTGGTTTCTGACAAAGTCTTGGTCAAGACACATCTTTCATGGTCAAAGATAATTGCCTTGACCAAGTTTTGAATTCAAAAGTTGGAGGGAAAAGAGTAAAGGAGGGAAAGAAAAATGTTACCTCGGCATGAGATCGAGTCCATTTGGTCGATCTAGGACTCGATCTCATGCCCAAAATGGCTTAGATCGAGAGGGTTACTCGATTTGAGACTTGATTCATGGTGAATCGAGTCCTGGATCGATTGGCTCTCTCGATCATTGAGATGTTGGCTCCTCGGCTAAGTCCTCATGATCGAGCTATGTCCTCGATTTAGGGGTCGATTTGGCATAGATCGAGTGATCGATCTGTTTTCAACAGATTTTCCCGAGAGAAATTAGATCGGTCGATCCGATTTGGATCGATCGATCCTTTTCGTCAAGGTCGATCTTGTCACTCGTTCTCGTCTAGATCGACTGGCTCCTCTCGATTCACTGACTCGATCTAGCAAAGATCGAGCCAGGATCAGTCGATCTAGCACTCGATCTCTAGCCTTATCTTAACCCCTATTGCCTTTTTAAGACCTCAAAGTCAAGGTTTAGACTCCTTATACCTGTTCCTACACACTTGCAAAATAAAAACATAAAACTGAAAGGGAAATAAAGCAGAAATATGTACAAGATAAACATGGGAATGCCTCCCAAATGCGCTTTCTTTAACGTCTTTAGCTAGACCTTACTTGGTCTAGGCGGATGGTGGGTCTTGGAGAAGCACCGGGGTACTCTCCTTGTCATAGCTGTCTGCCAAGTAGGGCTTGACTCTGTGTCCGTTGACGGTGAATGCACTGCCACTTTTTCCCATCAGAGTAACAGCTCCATACGGCAAGACTTCTTGAATCACGAACAGTCCGCTCCACCTTGATTTCAGCTTGCCCGGGAAGAGTTTGAGCCTCGAGTTGTACAGCAACACTAGTCCTCGTTCCTTAAGCTCCTTGGCAACCAACTTCTTTTCATGAGCCTCCTTAGTCCGCTCCTTGTATATCTGGGAGCTCTTGTAAGCATTCAGCCTCAACTCGTCCAGTTCGTGTAGCTGAATAAGGCGCCTCTCCTGAGCCGTCTTGAGATCAAAGTTCAGCCTCTTCACAGCCCACAACGCACGGTGTTCCAGCTCAACCGGGAGGTGACAGCCCTTGCCATAGAGTAGAGTGAAAGGGGTTGTACCAATCGGCGTCTTGAAGGCGGTACGGTAGGCCCAAAGAACGTCATCCAGCTTCACTGCCCAGTCTTTCCTTGTGGCTCCAACGGTATAAATTTAACTAAAATAATAATAATCATCAAAAATATATGATATATTATACAGTTATAAATCAACAAAAAACTGAAAAAATTAAACAAAACAACAGCCAATGATGGAAGAAAATCACGTACCTTCGATCAGACGTTATCACGTAGGAAGAGCAACCACAAGGGCCTACCTTAGGAATACGTAACCAGTAGATTCCTGAGACGTTTTTCGGCTCTGTGCTGTTATGAAACCCTGAGATTTGCAGTGGATATGGCAGTGTTCCAAGAGTGTGGTGCTGTTTCCTAATATGAAAACCACGCTTCCTTCTACATAGCAGTCTTTTAAATATTGTTTCCCATGATGCAAATACAATGTATCCTGTCGTTTCAGAGTTTGCAGTAAGCTAGAAGAAGATTGGGTAAACCTTGTAAACTAAACAAGAACATCGATTCAAGTACATAAAAGAAAACAATTAGGAACAAACCACAACGAAACATTGAAGAGATATGAAACTATGAACAAACCAACACCAGACTTTATTGAGAAAACATAAATCTATGAAAGTTATGTGACTAAAAAGACAGTTTAAGAAACGAACCTGCCAGCCGAGAAACCGACAGTTATAAAAAGCACAACGGTCTGCAGTGACTCTTATAAGCAATACCAGATATTACCCAATAAACAATACCAGATATTACCCCAAATCGCTTTGAGTAATTCATTTGAAGTCTAAATAGCAGAAGTGTTGAACACTCAGCAGAACAAGTTGTCAACTTTGTCTAGTTACAATGAGAAAAAAGTAACAGACTTTATACAAATTTAACTCCGGAGCAGAGTTCTCAAAGGTAATGCTCTATGCAATAAAGTCTTCACCTTCAACAATAACAGTCCCGCACCCAAACGTTCCCGTCCCGATGACTCTAGACGCCTGCAAACACATAATCCAACCAATCAGAGCGGTACACGTGCCAAGAATCGCAAGGCTTACAGCAAAAAAAAAATTATGAAAAAAACCTAGTGATGCTCAATATTGATAGCCGTATTGTTCCAAGTCAGAACGGTTGTGACATCCGTGACTTCAGAAAAAGGGCCAGTTTTTCTTTAGTATTTTTAAGATAGTCCAATTAATATTAAATCAGCTAAACCCATTTTTAAACCCACCAATTTAGCAATTCAGCCCATTCTTCTTCTTTAAGAAAACCCTAAACATAACTTTCCCTTCCCCTATTTAAAGAGCTCGTGGTGATGGAGAGAAGCAGAGAGTAACCACCACGGCGAAGCCCTACCAAAATCGAGCCTCAGTCAGCCACCTTGGAGGAGGAGCAATCAAAAGGCCAAAGGAAGCAGTTCTGACCCGTTTTGGTGCAGTAGAGAAAAGGCTATCCAGATCGGATTTGTTTGGCACGAAACTTTGAGGGTAAGTTCTAGACTCACAGATATACCTTTAGAAGAAAACTGTTCATCATTTGGATTTGTATACTGAGGGTTATGCGTCTTTTCCCCAGGCTGATGTTTTGTAAATCGAATATCCGAGCCGTCATCTTTCGAGGAAGATTTCCGTCGACTCCGATCGATCTAGATCACGATCTTGGTGTCATTGGAAAGATAATCCTTTTAGATATCCAGCGCCTCTTGAATCTTCGGAGTTGAAGTTAAATTCTGTGAGTTATCGTCATTTGAATCTGAGAGGATCAATATGTATAAATCCAGAAACCTAACTTTTTCTCAGTTTTACATCAGAGGTTGCAGGCCGGATTTCCGACGACTCAGATCAATACAGAGGCTGATCGTGGCAAAATTGGAAAGAGGACACTCCGAGGTTTCCATATAATCTGAGATCGTTCGATTTGCTTCATTATTCGGTGAGTTACAATCGTTTCTTCCAAAGCAAGCAGACCTGTTAAATTCTGAGTTTATGAATCCTAGTTGCAGAACTGCATTTTTCCAGAATTTGAGTTAAGTTTTGGATATGCATTTCCGAACAGATCCGTGTTAGTTTGGTCAAACCGTGGTGGTTTCAGTTAGAGGACGTGTCAGGCAAGCCACCAGACCAGTCAGACCTGTCAGAAAAGGTAAACCCTATGTTGTACGTTTGTTGCTTGTTGCTCAAGATTCGCTAACTTGTTAACTAGAAAGCCCTAATTCTGCAATGACTTATTATCCAATTCAACTCAAACACTAATTCGAAAATTCCAATTATTTTTAGGAATTTCTTATTTTAGAATATTCTAATTTGGCAAAGTTCTATTTTTGGAAACTTTCTATTTTTGGAAAGTTTCTATCTTGGAAAGTTTCTATTTTAGGAAAGTTCTATTTTAGGAAAGTTCTAATTCCCGAACCTATTATCGCAGTTTCCGTCCACCATCTGCAGTAACTGTCTTTCACGACTCCTCCTTTCCAACCGAACTCTAAGGTGAGGATTGGTTTATGATTACTAAAGATGCATTAGGTGGATTAATAATATTTATATGCTGGATATAGGGATTAGATGTGTTTGATGGTTGATGCTGATATTGATGTTGGTGATTGAGTATTGATGATTGATTATTAATTAAGAGATATAATAGGAATCATTGATTGTACCATTGACCGTTGTGTCAGTGTTGTTTGACGGCCTACAACGAGGGACAATTGTGAAGTTGTAGTGATCGAGAAAGGGCTGACGTGCCGTTGTCAAACCATGTAGTGGGCGGTGGCACCTTGTTATCTGTCAAACCCGGAATGGGCGGTGACAAAGATTGAGTACCTTGGACGGTTGATCCTTGGGAATGTGTTATAGAGTTGATTGGATGTTTGATTTGATTTATATATTTAAATATTGAGATGATTTGACTTCTATGTGAAATTGCTAGAAATTCTATGTAGGTTGATTGCTTGTGTTTAATTTCTGTATTTATTATATTTATATTATTATTTCAAATGGTGTTTCCAAAGGATCTCGCGGGCTCTTTAGCGCGCCCCTCGCTGAGTATTCCTAGAATACTCATCCCTCTTTTCCCTTTCAGATGTGTGACTTGAGTTGAAGTCGGAGCGGTGCTATTTCCGGGAACCATTAAAAGGGCGATTTAGTTTTTATAAAGCTTTTAAAATATATTATTATTTATTTTTATCTTTGTGTTTAAAATTTAGTTTTTCTTGATATAACGCTTCGAGTTTTTCGTTCATTTTTAATAGAAGAGTTTTAGGCCATTAATACATATTTAATAAGTTTATTTCTACTTTGAAAAAATAGTTTTAACACGTGAGAACCACTCTCGGCCGAAATAGCGAGATTGGGGTCTCTCAACGGTGATTTCCGGTGAGATTCCGGCGAAAGTGATAAAGTTTTTCCTCTTAGGCACGTACACTGGTTGCCGATATATCCCCGGTGAGAGACAGATCACAGCCCGACAAGTGTTTTCAAGAGGCACCGAGTCGATCGCATCCTGAACGGTGCAGTAATCGCCGGAACCATCCTGAGCAACCCTCACCATTGTCCTTATAATTCTTTCACAAAAAAAACGTTAGAATCTATAAACCAAAAATAAAGAAAACACATCTTCAACCAGCAAAGTAGTAATATTAGAACAAATTAGCGATTTCTTCACAAAATCTAACAAACACGAAGAACAAAGTAACAAATTGATAATATTTGCTGAATCTAAAATATTAAACTATATATATATAAAGATGATTAGGGTTACGTGACAACCGACGATATCTTATGAGCCACGGCCTGAATTGAAACAATAATATTAAAGTTTCGGTAAATATATGAAAATATTTATATTTTATTTAGATTCGGCTAAGATCTTGGTAACTATATTAAAGTTATTTCCATTTTGATAATTCTGAAGATCAACGAACCAACGAATATTCCTTTTTTGATTATTACTTAACTTATTTGATAATTGAAGATATATCTAAACTTATTCGTTATATATCAGAATATCAAAAAAATAAAGTTGTAAATCTCAGAAAATATTAGAATAGATTAGCGATTTCTTCATTAAGGGTACTTAAGTAATGTTTAGTGAGATTGAATAAGAGAGCTCTATTCCTCAAAATCACTTTGCAAATAATGTTTTAGATCATTTTTTATTTGTTCTAAAAGACTAAATTTAATCTAAAATCTGTTGTTATTAAAAAAAAACAAATAATAGTTATCATTGATTTTGTAATTCTATTTAAATCTATTGTTATTAGAGTATGGATTCTATACACTTTTACTCTTATGAGTAAAAATGTATTCTATACATTCTATACAACTTTTGATTGAATGAAAGTTAAACTATAGTTATTCACAGTTTTGGATGGTTCTTAAGATGGAACAAAATTTGATGATGTGATTATGCAATGTAGACGTAGATATGTCTACTACGAAGAAGATTTTCCTTCCTTTGAAAGACGATGACATCATTGACATACCATAGCAAGTGGTTGAAGCTGATGCAATAATGGTGAAACCTCTTTCTACATTTAGTAGTTTTTCAGTCCCCTTATTCTGGTGAATATGATCAAAGTACAGAAGGAGAATCCGAAACCTCATTTGCTGACTACCACTTTCTCAAACCCTCTGGAACTGGAGAAACAAAATAAAGTAGAGGAGGCTTTAGATGAAAGTGCATTAGCTTGCGAGGAACCGCTGATTAAGTGTATGGAAAAAAAAACTCTCTACCCAACTGTCTCAATTTTTTGTAAATTCAACGGTTAAACGTATCATGGAAGGTGTTAAGCCTTCTTCTCCGATATATGTATCTGCTAGGTGCCATTGATCAGTATAAATTGACACAATTGATACAGAGAATTCAAGACGTAATTTCATCTATTTGATGTCCATAGTATTGGTTTCAAGATCCTCAAACTAATGCCATATAATATTCAATTTAAAAGAGATTCATATTGGCTCTTTCGAAACCAGGGATAACTTTTACAAAAAATTATTGACTCCAACAGAGAATTGGCCAAAAAAAGACGACCCCTCTTAATGGCAGGGTGAATTCATAAGCCTTGAATAAGTAAGTTACATTTTAGAGTTTATATTGTCATGTACACATATGTTGTCTATTGCTCACATATTTTGCAGCACATTTCATTTTTTCTACATATGCTAAGGAAAAGATCCATGCAGAAACCAACTCCATTCAACAGCCGAAGGATGGCTTTCTTTGATCAATGCTGGGTTAATTTATGGTGTCACGATTATAGGAAATTTTCCATTAATCCCAAAAACTTCATGTTCTGCGAAGCATATGTTGACGTGATAAAAGGCGCATACATTTGTTACGCAGTGACAAAAGGTGGTTGTATGATGTTGATCATCTATTCTTTGCACACAATATTAATAATCGGCATTGGATTGCTCTTCATGTTAACATTCTCTGGGAACACATAAATGTCTAAGACAGTTTCATAAGCGACTATGACTAGAAGAAGATCATGGAAGAAGTAATTCTATACGCGAGAATGATTCCATACATGCTTAAATCTGTTGCTCCCGCTGAAGCAAAAGCAGGCATTCTTCTGAAGCAATACACAATGTTGGAGGGAAAATGAATACATTTCTTAAAAAGGATTTCTCTAGTAATAACCCAAGCCCATCAAGATAAGGATTCCCATGCCGAATGGAAGACAAAAGAAATATTCAAAGATAATGAAAAATCTCAACTGAATCAGGAAGAAAAGGATATTTCCATATCCGAAATAAGGGAATTATCCCGAAGGAGGAAAGGAAAAGGAGTTCACCATAGCCGGCCTCCTACTCCTATAAATAGAAGACCCCGGATAGCAAGAAGAACGACACATACATTCTAGAGAGCAGCAGAGCTAAACCTAAGAACTCTAACCTTTCTAGTTTATTGTTTTTCCACTTTCTTTCACTTCGGCATAACCTCTAGGTTACACCATCCTCTGTAATCGCTTTGCCTTTGAGCTCTTTTAATAAAGATTTTATTCTCCAAAACCCAGAACTGTTAATTACATAAACCTATTGGTGATTTTCTGGTTCAACAATTGGCACCGTCTGTGGGGACTAGGAGAATAAAATTCTTGAAAACAGCAACACAAGGTCTGAAGCAATGAGTCTTCCCGATGACAGCAGCCTCATCCTCAACAAGAGAACAGTTCGAAACCGACATCGAGCGTGAAGCAAACCACTGCCAGACCTTCGTGGAACATCTCAGCAAAGATGCTCTCAAGTGGGTTTTCTAACCTCTCGCCAGCATCGATCAAAACTTTCAAGGAGCTGTCCCACGTCTTCATAAAACATTACTCAATGTTTATCACCAAAAGGACTGTCAACCTCTTCACCTTAACCCATGACTGCGATCAACCCCTCCGCGATACGTAGAAAAATTCAAAGATGCTGCCGCAGCCAAAGGCCAAATACCACAAACCCTAGCACTGGAGACACTCATCAATGGGTTATGGTATGAATCCCCATTCAAAGCCGATCTGCTAATGAACCTGAAGGAGATTATAGAGGACGTACTGCACCGGGCCCAGACCTTCATCCGGATCCGATGAATCTCGTAAACAAAGACAATCCATCTTCACACGCCATCATGAAAGCAGTAGAGAAGCCCTGGAATCAGTGGAACCGAGGTGATCCTTGAAACTGCCTCAGCTCAGGGAGATGATAATCACGATGTTTTATGCTCCTTCCATGGACGCACAGGGCATGCTACTTTGGCATGTCGACAACTCCATAACTTGGTCTATGAAAAATACAAGGAAGGTAGGATAGAGATCAGCGGTGATAGATATCAGAGCAAAAACTCCTACTCACGAAGCTCAAATAAAGATGGGCACCAAAGTAGTTCGGGAGGGCGGCGCCGAAGTAGATCATCCGACAAAAAGAAGGAAGAAAAGGACGAGAAAGCACGTCCAGAGCACGGCAACGAAGACCGCGATAAAGATAACCCACCGCCACCTTCCAAAAGATGGATCAACATGATCATGGGAGGCCTACCCGACTGTGATGACTCGGTCCGCACTATCAAGGAGTATGAGAGAAAGGCTGTCACTTCGCGTAAATTCCCCTGAACTGTAGAGTACCAGCCAACAATAACCTTCACCGCAAAAGATCTTCACGGTCTTCACACGCCGCATAATGACCCGCTGGTTGTCGAACTCCATATTCACGAAAACGATGTGACGAAGATCCTAATTGATACCGGCAGCAATGTCAACATAATCTTCAAGGATACCCTAACCAAGATGGAACTTCGCGACAAGGATATCAAAGCAGCACCAAAGCCGCTCACAGGATTCACCCAAACCGATGCTGAAGAAAGATTCACCAACGAATCTTTGTTCAGCATCGGTTCGATAAGGTTGATAATTTACGTCGGCGGCATAACTAAGATCGCCAGATTCACTATCATGGATAAGTTTAGATCTACAACGCCATTCTCGGCACTCCATGGATCCACGAGATGAAAGTTATCGTCTCAACCTATCACCAATGCATGAAGTTTGCCACATCCACTGACATCTTTTCACTTCGCGGGAACCAGCAGATGGCGTGTTCATGCTTCATCCATGAACGCAAGGTGCGGCTCACCGCGGCAAGAGCCCCAGGTGACACCAAAAAATGAATTAGATTCGGCAAGAATCTTGCAGCTTTTATATCTATTTTTATTTGCGCATTCAATAAAAGCCAGCTCGGCTCATGAGTTAACTACTCATCTCTTAATTGTAAAGAACTATGAATAGCTTTATCCCAATTTGAGTACGTAGGCAATCTTTTGGTGCAGCTATAAATCTAATAAAATTTTATTTTCTATTATTTTGGCAATCAGCTCGGCGTATGAAAAAACAAATACTTCGCAAAGCACTTTTATCCATGCGAATGCATTTAAATTAACTCAATGTTCTGGCCAAGCATTCGAGTAAACACGCAAAAATTAATTATATAGCTGATAACCACTCCTTTGATACTTCAGTTTGATTTAATTACTTCTGAGGTGGTTAAGACGAAAGCAAGAGAAAATACTCGCACGACCCTTGATCATACCTTTTGGGCCGATGTAAATCCTGAAAGCTTTGTATTCAGTCTTGTTCTCGTTTGGTATAAGAAGGGCAAGTGAATCCGCTTCCAACACCGGACTAAAAAGTTCCATCGCATAGCAGAAAATTTTTGAGTTGCAAAATGCACTTCGCATCAATTTATTTTCCGAAGGGTTAATTCATTAAATAATGCATAAAAACCTTCCCAGGCAATGTCAATACATAAAAGCCATAAAAGGTCTGCAAAAATAAAGGGAGAAGAGGGCAGCTATCTAATTTGGCTCGTCTCTTGGCAGCTCTGACGCCGAGGTCTCTTCTTGAGCTCCCTTCATGATATTGCTGCATATTTCATGTATTTTGCATACATATAATTTAGTTTCTCATGCATTTACATTGCACTTTAGGCTAGTTTGCATCACTTTAGGTCCTAGAGTATTCTTGCACCAGCATATGCATGTTTCATGCATTTTGCATCGCATTCAGGTTGTTTTCGGCTA